GTTTTCTAAGGGTAGGAATTAAAAACAAAGAAATCTGTGAGTGTCATCCTGAGGTGAAGGCGTCCACCATCAGGTCTCTTGGGAGAGACTGGCTTTCCTGTGATTTCAGCCCAGCAGCATCTCTTTCCTCCTGGATGGGTAGGATGTGGCTGTCAGACAGAACGGTCAACTAAGAGGAAACACACAGATCCCCTCTCAGAAATACTGGAGGATCCTGGTCCAGACCCATGACGCCCAGTGTGTGCTTTTTTTTTTTGTGACCGGTAAGGGGATCGCAACCCTTGGCTTGGTGTCATCTGCACCGCGCTCAGCCAGTGAGCACACCAGCCATCCCTATATAGGATCTGAACCTGTGTTGGGAGCACTGCTGTGCTCCCAGCGCCGCACTCTCCCATGTGAGCCATGGGGTCGGCCCCCCCAGTGTGTGCTTTTACCATGTCGCCCTCACCTGCCCTCTCTGCAGCAAGCCTCTGGTGGTCGCGACCATGGGACGTCTCCATGGGTGTGGCAGCTCTCTGTACAGGGGCTCTCTCCTTTGGCCTTCAGCATCTTGCACTGAGCCATGTGCACAGAGCTGCACAGGGAATGTGTGAGTGAATGAGGGTGGCAGCTTGTGGCTTAAATCAGACCCAAGAAACATTTCAACCAACCGTAGTGTGTGGACCATATTTAGATCCTGGGCTCAAACAGCCAACTGTAAAGAAAAATTGTCAGCTGGGGAAATTTGAACATTGGACATTTGGTGATGTTAGAGAATGAATTTTAAGTGGGATAATGGTTTTAGGGTTATGTTTTAAAAAGAGCATTTATCTTTTTTTTTTTTGGCGGCTGGCTGGTAAGGGGATCTGAACCTGTGACCTTGGCATATAAGGCTGTGCTCTAACCAAGGGTCTTTATCTTTTAAGGATGTGTAGGAAATATTTAGAGATGAAATGATTTGGTGTCTGGGATAAACTTCAAGATAACTCGGGATGTAGGGAGGGAAGGTGGGTGGGTGGAAAGTGAAGCAAAATGGACCATTGTTGAGTTCATTATCCTCTTCTATTTTGTTTGAAATTTTCCATAATAAAAATTTTTACGAGTTTTATTCCTGAGTTTTCTAGAAGGAAGTTTGAATACAGGTAAAGAAATAATTCTTTTAAATGCTTCTCTGGTCATGTCACTCTCCTGTTAAAACCCCTTCCCATTATACTTTAGAAAAATCCTTCAGTCCTTGACGTGGCCGTGGGTCATTACGTGGTGCGGCCTGCACCTCTCCAGATGCCTCTGCTCCTCTCCAGATGCCTCTGCTCCTCTCCAGATGCCTCTGCTCCTCTCCAGATGCCTCTGCTCCTCTCCAGATGCCTCTGCTCCTCTCCAGATGCCTCTGCTCCTCTCCAGATGCCTCTGCTCCTCTCCAGATGCCTCTGCTCCTCTCCAGATGCCTCTGCTCCTCTCCAGATGCCTCTGCTCCTCTCCAGATGCCTCTGCTCCTCTCCAGATGCCTCTGCTCCTCTCCAGATGCCTCTGCTCCTCTCCAGATGCCTCTGCTCCTCTCCAGATGCCTCTGCTCCTCTCCAGATGCCTCTGCTCCTCTCCAGATGCCTCTGCTCCTCTCCAGATGCCTCTGCTCCTCTCCAGATGCCTCTGCTCCTCTCCAGATGCCTCTGCTCCTCTCCAGATGCCTCTGCTCCTCTCCAGATGCCTCTGCTCCTCTCC